AATGATGATATATTAGTGAAAAAATGATAATGAAAACCCTACATTAGAAAACTTCAATGGAGTCTTGATAGACCCAAAAGTTTGAATTTTTAAAAATGATTTAATAGATGTAGTAAAACTGTCGTGAAATCACGTGCTTTAAAATTAGGAAGTCGCATCAAAGTCTAACTCGTTAACCATATCAAGAGTCACCTCCTTAAGTGATAAAAATATCTTGAGATCCAATCAGAGATCTTTTAAGCCCTCGTTGATTGCAACCATACCCTTTCAGGATCAGTCACGATCTTCCAAACTTTATCAAGTACAAATCAGGTCTTCTAAAGTCATTTTGTAGACGGTGCAATTAGGTCATGAACAATCAACCATTGTACACTAAAAAATTAATATTTTTGGTCGACGGTAATAAATTATTAGATAATGATAGAATTTTGATTAATTAACATGTCCTTCACATCTAATGTAATTAAAGCATCAAAACCACAGTACTTGAAATATTTTTGGCCACTGCTTTTTGAGAAAACAACTCTTCCCCACCAACCTCTCCCAGTGCCAAATGTGATCAGTACTACTGCTATAGTTTATTGCAAGATAATGACAATTAAGAAAAGTTAAGAGTTGATTAAAGACACATAAGGAATTGAAAGGGATCTCTATTAGGACCACAACTCTTGTGTTGATTTGACTAATCCTTAACTAATTATATATAAACATTTATAATACATTGAAAAAGACATACTATTACTACTCTTAAAAAATTAACAAGAATAGAATCAAATAAAATCAAGTTGAGAAATAAGATACTGTTTATCTATGATGTAATTTACTAGAAGTTAAGATTGAGGCTCTACCATAATGCAACTTTCTTTTTGACCAGTCCATATAGGAAGTATTATGTGAATATACAGCCCATGGGGCATAGCTCAGTGGTACAAAGGATATGAGTGATGTAATCGCAGTTGAGTTGACCGTCGCAGTATGAGAGTTCGATTCTTGCCTCTTACACGGTATGAAATTGGACTCTTTGTGAGCACTAATATGATAGCTCTTGTATCCTAACTTGTTGAGGCACATTCCTCGATTTATCTCCTCCACAATGCTCTAGAGGCGAGACGAGGAGGGGCGGGACGGGGACCCTCAAGGTTGGGGTTCAACCCTTTTTTATTATGTGAATATACAAATTTACCAATAGAAATCGAGTAGAAAACACGATGTAGTATAAGTAAAAAGTGATTTGTCAAATGTACTCAATAAGATCATTTTTGTCGATCAATTGAAGATGTTTAAAATTTTAGTCTTTCTAATTTGGAAAAGTTTACTCTATGATCAGATGGTATGTACATAAAATACTCTACAATCTTCACAAATAGCTATAATAAAATTCTTTATGTCTAATATAACTAATTCGATATGACTCACACGTCCCATAATTTTCTATTAAATTGTGTATTATTTCATCTTCATGAATAAATAAGCTAAAACTAGTAAATTTACTTGCCTCCGTGTAATTTAAAATTTCTTGTTCTTATCCTAAATAAAAACCTTTTTACGTTAAAGTTGAAAATAAGTACTTATTTTGAAAGTAATCCTATTTATGTCAAAATAAGTATTTTTAATTATTAAATAAAAAAAATCCCCAAACATGTTTAGAAAAATCTATTTTATACTAAGCTTAAAGAAAATGAGAAGTTACTTTCATATTAAACATATTTAGATGTTACTTTCTCATCTTAGCCTTTGTAGGTTTCATTTTATTTTTTCGCTAACAAATTTATTTTTATCAATCACCAATTTTAATCATACATTTTGTTTCTAACTTCCTTTTTGTTTATGAACATGGGTTGAGATTGAAAAGAAAAATAAACAATCACGACTTTTACGCTTCATAATTAATGTAAAATTAATTTTGATATTAAAAATATATTGATCATATATTTATCATGGCAGCCCTTCAACATTTCATTTGTAACTTAAAAAATTTTTGATATTTAAAATTTATTGACCATATATTTATCATGGCAGCACTTCAACATTTCATTTGTAACTTAAAATAATGAATCAAACGTAATAAAAGAAAAAAAAAAAAAAAGCTTGGACGGCTTAGACAGCCGAGCTGAGCGTAGCCGAGCCAAAAAGCCATTGGGCTCGACTCGCAGCTTATGGTATAGATAATGGGGAAGTCACTCTTTTATTTATGGTATAAATAAGTAGTAGACTACCAATAAAAAATATCTATTGTAAAAGTTACTTATGACGCGTTCGGTAGAGATTAAAATTGAAAAACTAGTCGTTACTGTTGACTTTTATTAGACGGGTGGGACCTAATAACGGCTATATTTTCAATTTTAATTGAATTTTAAACTGTAACGAACATGCCCTTATATTCTCCAACTTACTTTTAAGCCTAGCCCAAAATGGTATCCTCAACAAAATACATTATATTCTTATTGAACCAAAACGCATTCTTAACTCCTACATAATGGTACAAAATGAGCAAAACGAAAATATAAATATGCACTAACTATTCCATAATCCCCTAATATACATTCAACATATATAGCATATTCAATAGACTTTTTAAACATAAGATGCTTCATATTTTAAAGAATCAACATTTAAAATTATGCACAAAGAGACTCTTTAAATTAATATTTTAATTTAGAGAGTGTGTTTGACTCTCCAAACCCACTATCTATAATTTAATGCATTTAAAGTATTTTAATTTTCAATGAAAAAAATAATATAATAACTTGGAGAAAAGTTGGTGAAAATAAAAGATACAGAAAAATAATAAATATTTTTTGAGAATAGTAAAATTAAGTGTTAAATATAAAGAGCAAGTTGGAGCACTTAAAAATTTGAACTCTCTAATTTGTTAAATATGCTCTTTAAAAATAGAAAGTCTTTTGGACATCATGCTGCCATTACATGTATGTATTCTTTTATCCTTATCGTATAATTTTACGTTAATCTTAATTATATGAAGCGCAATATTAAAAAGGTCATCGATCTAGAATCACTATGAAGTTACCGATAATTAATGAGTGCGAAACATGATATACACGATTCTAGAGCTATATTTGTAATTAAAAACCTCAATTCTCAAATTATGCACGCAATTGATTCTTAAAAAATCACCAATTCTAATCATAACGTAAATTTTTTTCCTTAAAAAGCAATATAAGATTCTTGGATACAGTAACACAAATTTCACCGTTGTGACAAACAAATGTTTTTGCATAAAGTCATGCTAGAGTGTATCATCCCACTCTTGTGAATAGGTTAAAAGGGTTAACATGATATGTAGGGACGGATCTGGGGGGCTCCGTCCCGCCCCCCAGTCCATTGAAATTTTTTTAGTAGAAAACAATTATGTAAAAAAATAAAAAAAATTTCTTGTACAATATTATTATTTTTTAAATATTAGTCCGATTTATAATCCGATCATGTATCCGTCCCTCATATCTAATACCCATTGATAAGTGAAATTTGTGCATTTATTTGGATCAAATTACTAAGCTTTTATGTCGACAAATCATTTATTTTTACTTAACTTCGTTTATTTTTGTTTTGTTTTTAGTTATGGACTCGTTCAAAGCAATTGGAAACAAAAGAATGATGAATGAAATGAAATCTGCAATTTTGGGGATTAAAGTCTACACTATAAAAATTGAAGGACTAAATTGCATGAGTTCTAAGGATGAGATGAATTGGAGAAAAAATAAAGTTAAAGAGTTGGAATTGCAATTGGACTATCACGCCAATTATCACTTGGAATTGGAGTTCTAATTATACTAAAGTGGATTGATGGCTAAAGAATTCTAATTATACTCCAATTATTTGGCTTCTGGAGAGGAAAACAAGTATATATACATGCAGACAAACACGGCAGAAAAGGGGGTTCGGGGCTGAAAAGAAAATACATACAGGAACCCAAATACGCAGAAAACAGAAAGAAAAAGCTGTAAGAAAGAAAGAACCAGGAAAAAGAAAAGGAATAAAACAAAAACAAAGAAGAGAGGAAAAGAAGAAAAGTCAAAGGAGAGTGAAGGCTGGGAAAGAAAATAGAGAAGAAAGCTGCAGCAGAAAGTCATACGCAGAGAGGAAAGAGAAAAAAGAAAAAGGGGGAGTGAACTGCAAATACCAGAAATTCTCATGTTTGATCAATTATTGGCGATGTCGTTCCACTTTTGCGTATTTTTATTTTTACATTATGAATAATTAATTTTTATATTAGGGAAAACAATGTAATCGACTTGTGATCCTTAATTCTTTTATTTAAGATTTATGTGGTTTATTTATCTATGTGTTGATTTTATTATGAATTTAATGCATTAAATTATCTGATCAATAATTTGATGATTAAGTGAATTTCTTACGAATCGAGAGGTGAGTTTGAGATTTAGACCATATAATAAAATCCGGTAAATTAGTATAACGTGTAGAGATACGTATATTAATTATTGCGGTCATAACTTGAATTCTTAGATCTAGTGTTTCGTTTAACTAAAATTGATTCGTATAGAGATATGGAATTGAATTAGTTAAATAGGCTCAATGAGAACTCGAGAGGTGTAAATTGAATACAATAGAAGAATTCGATCGAACACTACATTAGGTTGTGAATCTTGAATTAAGAATAAAGGTGATCAATAGATGAAATTGTTATGTCCTAATATTCATTGCATATTTGCTTATCCAATTATCCATTGTTTGCAATTTTTTATACTTTCAATTTGTTAAAAGTAGTTAGTCAAAATCATCATAATTATTTACTTGTTTTTGTCAAATAAGAGTTAGAAAAATCTAATTAAGACCTAAAGTATAGTCCTCGTGAGAATGATAATCCGAATTCAAAGGTCCACTATATTACTTGTTACGCTATCGTACACTTGCGATATAAAAAAAGGCAATACCCATCTATAACTTGATTTTAAGAATATTCCTCCTATTTGTAACTCAACTTGGAAAACTGAAACTTTTATGGAAAGCTACTCTGGAGAATGGGCACTAATCCGAAGTGTTTGCTCAGGTAATGAAAGATAAATGCTTCCCACAGGAAACACGGTTTTCGGGGGAAACTTTTTCCTCAAGCACTTAAATCACATCAAAAAGTTGCCACAGTGCTCTCAACCTATGAAAGAATTAACCCTCTCTTGCATGAGTAGGTATTAATTATGGGACAGACGGAACAAATTATCATACAATGACACGTGTTGCGCATATGTCTACTTTGTTATGGAAATATATGCATGGCTCCCACTTCACCTGCATAAATACCAGCCCACTTCACTTGATTTTTTGCAGGTGAATTGGCTTCCAAGAAGAAGATGGGACATATCAATCTTTAGTCATTTTCACATCACTTTCACATAATTTTTCTCCTTTTTCGGATTCTCCCAACTGTATATATAAGAAGAATTTTCTGCATACATACAAACAAAAACACTCATATTTGCTTCATAATTCTGTCCCAACTTTGTACTTATTCCTTCTTCCTCAAAAATCCTTTTCAAGGAAGAAAAACAGGACAATATTGTGCTGCTTTTTCTGCTGCAGTTCGCCGCATCAGCTCAAGCACAAAGGTATATATACACATATAAATATACATTAATGCGTGTTTGATAGAGATGATCAGATAGCACTATACAATATCAAGAAATGTTCATTATACAGTTCTATCTTCTCCAGTACACTGCTCTAAACATGCATTATCTAGATATTATGTTGTTGTGCTTGGGCGTGTTGGAAAGAAAATCAACGCCATATATTATTAAAGTTGAAGAATAAGTTAAAATCTTGTTCATTATAGTATGAAAAAATGCACTTAGTGGTCCAAGATACTATATTCTTGCGCTAGTGCATGTCGGAAAGAAAATTCCTTACAGCTAGTTTTCTCTCTCTCTTAATTTTTCCATAATTTTTAACTGAATTTGCCACTTTTTGTTAATGAAACAGGAGTATTAAATATATATGAGGATCTCATTTTCTGCCTGCAAGCAAGCACAGCCTCTGCAGGTGAATTTTCCCCGGGGGCTGAACATGGATCAATTTATTCTGGGCCGGAGCCGGAAGGACAAGGTGGTGATAGTAATTGGAGCCACCGGAACCGGAAAATCAAGACTGTCGATCGATCTAGCCACCCGTTTTGATGCGGAGATTGTGAATTCAGATAAAATGCAAGTTTACAAAGGCTTAAATATAGCAACCAATAAAGTGACAGAAGAGGAATGTAGGGGAGTCCCTCACCATTTGTTGGGAATAGTTGATCCTGATGCAGACTTTGCAGCCGTCGATTTCGTGAATCATGCGTTGATCGCTGTTGATTCGATTACGAGAAGGGGTCGGTTGCCTATCATTGCTGGAGGGTCTAATTCTTACATCAAGGCTTTGGTGAATGATGATATGGAATTCAAGTCAAAGTATGAATGTTGTTTCCTATGGGTGGACGTATGGATGCCTGTCCTTCACTCGTTCGTATCGAAAAGGGTCGATCAAATGGTGGTCGCTAGTTTGATTGATGAAGCAAGAGAATTCTTCGATCCTGAAGGTAATTACACACGTGGGATCAAACGTGCTATCGGAGTACCAGAACTAGATGAATTTTTTCGAAATGAGTCAATTCTTGACAATGATACAAGGTCTAGGCTCCTTGAGGATGCTATTGATAAAATTAAGGCAAACACTTGCAAATTGGCTTGTCACCAACTACAAAACATTCTTAGGCTTCGAAATGAATCGAAGTGGCACATTAACTATTTGAATGCAACCGAAGCCTTCCTCAAAAGGGGCTCGGAATCAGTTGAAGCTTGGGAAAGGCTCGTGGCCAGGCCAGCCACCAGGATCGTGGGTCGCTTTCTATGCGAAGATGACATGGATTTCATGTCAGCAATTGCCGTGCCACCTCCTATCTATAAAATCATTGAAATGCCTCAGGGCATCCGGAGTTCAAACATTATCACTTATTTTAACCATTGTGTTTAATAGTACGTACTAAACACACATACGTATCCACCAGTTCAGGAGAAGTATTCATGAACGGCACATGGATAGTGTCACGTCGAATCAAATCGACCTACCACCTGCCCTCTTTTCTACCTTCACAAAGGTTGCTGTCAGCTAGTTATGTACCTAAAATATGGGTGGCCGTGAGCGTTTTAGAATATACATGTGCATGTAACAGAGTTCTTTGCAAATTGTAGGCACTTTGTGGGATGCGGTGGGGTCGGGTGGGGGTCAAGTAAAACTTCAATAAATTATGCAAAAAGGATGAGTGGCATTTTTGGGTTTTTTTTTTTTTTTCCTTTTTTCCTTTTTCAATTTCATGTACTTTTTTCTAAAAGTTTGGAGTGTCCCTTGTGTAAATTTATTGTCGCAAGCTATAATATTTTGGATTTGTCCACTCTACTGTGTGCGTGTGTTGGGTGTAGAGTTGAATGGTGATCTTCAATCAATAAACCACACTAAGTTAGTTCAATATGGTGATAATAATTCAAATATATTGCTATAAATGTAACACAATACTCCCCTTTCCAATGTTGATGAGCATGGGACCAAAAAGTGAATTATACAAGGCTCAGATCAATGACTCAATGCATACAAGGTAGCTCAACTCAAATGAACCAAGGAATCTCATTCACAAGACTAAACGAATCCTAATCACAAAGGAACCAAACAAGAACAGCAAACAAAACAGGACAACGAAAAGGAGGCTGAAACACGGCCAAACAGGGGCAGTAAATAACAGCCTAAAAACACCAACGAAAGGGGTGCCAACAGTAACAAAAGAAGGGCCTCACAGAAGAGACGTGGGTCACAAAAAGGGTAGTCGCAGTCGGGGGTGAGAAAAGTAAGAGGGAGAGTAATGGCTTGTATTATGAAACACACCAAAGTGGGGCCAACATATATTTTGGTTAAGTAATGGAGGTGGTGGCATAAATGAGATCCAGTCCGGCTTTGATATGTGTATGAGCTCTCCAATATTGTATGCATTGGGATTGTGATATTTTCTTTATTCTTTGAATTTTTTCACGAACTTTTAATCTTGAGGAACGATTAATTGAAGTTTGAGCATCATATTCTTCATTGAATACAATTTTTATGCAGCAAATCGTAAAAACAAGAAAAATGGTGAATTCAAAGTCTTGTCCACAACATATTTGGCTTAAGCTATATAGAAGTGACATGAAAATATTTTTTAAAAAAGTAAATATTTACTTATTTTTGTAAATATAACTTATAAGCATAGCAAGAAAATGTCGTAAATTAGTTAATGAATTGAAAATTCTCTCTTAATTTTGCATGGTTTTAATTACGACTTTTGGGTTTCCAATGAGTAAAAAGTTTCTTTTCGAACTTATTCTCTCTCTCTCTTCTTTTGGTATAAAAAACAAAACTCTATTCATTAACTTTTCAAGATTCACTTGTCATGACTTGTTATGAAGCCAAAGTTTCTTGGTTGAATAGAGAAAATGAAATTGAGATTCTATAAAATTAATAAAGATTACAATGCATGAAATTGAACCTAAAATGTAGAATTATTAGACATATTTAGCAGCAAGAAACACATACATATTCCTTAATTCAAATAACTGCAGTTGTGGTCTACGTATTAGATCAAACAAATAATAAAAAAAGTACAAACTTAAGAGCAGATATATGATCTGAAACTTGGAGACGATGGACATACAAATCAACCAAGTATAACAAAGAGCTAAAGATAGGGATGTAAACGAGCCTCGCCAGCTCGCAAGCCAAAGCTTGGGGCTCGGACATGGCTCGGGTAAAAAATGATCCAAGTTTTTTTTTTCCCAAGTCAAATCAAGTAAAAGCTCGCCCAGAAAATCTTTGCTTGAGCCTTTTTACAGGTAGCTACAATTGCCTAGTTTTCTACAGGCAATTACAATTGTATAGGCAACTGCGACTGTCTTTTATTAATACAAGTAGTAGCTGCAACTGTCTGTTTTAGACAGTTTTTACTGCTTCCATAAAATGAAGGCAACATTTTGAAAATGGCTCATTACGGACCAAAATGGTCCGTGACACAAGCCGGCTCAAGCTGAGGCAGATGCCCAAAATTGAGGGTCGGTTAAATATAAATAATTCTACATTCTTTCTCATGTGTCCAGCTTGTTTTGCTTCGCATTATCATATGTTGAGTTAAATACTTTGTTGGCTTCTCATAACTGTAATCGCCGTTGTCTTCAGAGTTTTTATGTTTAAATAGCTATCTTATCCTCATCAATATCCTCTTCATTGGCATCTTATAAACATCTCCACATATTGTAAGCCCCTCAAAAATTGGAATAAAGCAATGTGAATGACTTCAACATCATTGTTACAATATGCTACACTAGTACCATCTCACTTTGGGCATCCATTATTAATCACCCTCATCAAAGAACCAAAAGTACTCAAACGTACATATTCAAGTTGACAAACATGAATATGCTCTTAATAATCACACACTTGATGGAAAACTAACGTGCGTAAACATAAAATCACAATCATAAACCATTTATCTTCCCTATTTTTGTTGCATTTGCAAATTGAAGGTACTTTTGTTGGGGGGTCCAAATAACACTTAACACATTTGAAAGAAAGAAAAAAGAGTGGATATCTTTATTTTGTTGTTTTTATTATGGATAATTGTATTCACACCACAATTTTTGTTAATTGCACAATACTATAATTGTAATGAGCGTCCACAAAATTTTCTCATTTTTAAGCAATAGACTGAATGAGTCTTAGTTTCACTCACGTTCTTGTTTAGGAGTAGCATGTAGCACTATGTGAATGGATTCAAAATAATGTTACTGCTTGGATCGGGTTTATAAATTTTTCCTATGCCCTCAACTTTTTTAATCGCGTTCTTATCTTTAACTTTCAGTTAATTAGTGTATGTTGTCCCTACCTACGATTTCTATCCAAATATTATGTTTGTATGGAAAACATATTTATTTGAACTTTTGTATTTGTTGTCCATCTTGCTTATCTAAAAATACAATGAGCAAATGAGTCTTTTTACTCCCTCCTAAATGATTTTTTGGTCGTTATCAAGGACAAGATATGCTAATTGATATAAGGATGTGATAAAAAAATTCGATGAATTATAATACAGCAAAATATCATCCCATCAAGTTTCATGTATGTGCATTCTATTGAAAACTTCATTTGAAATGATGTTTGTTTGGGTTTTGAAATGAATTTCGTTGAATAAAACTTCATTTGAAACACTACTTGTGTGAATAAACATTTACTTGCTCGCTTTAAAATCATTTATTTTGTCGGCTTAAATTATAGAAAATAATGCTGAATTTGTCACTGTTTTTCCAATCAATACACTTTGTTTCACTTGTATGGTTGCTTACTATTACTCTGGCATTGCCACACTCTACGACATTTAGGGTTTGTTTGCTCGTGTATAGTCAGTTTTCCCTCGACTAAACAAGTGAAAAACTTAACTTTTTTTTTTCATCCAATGTGTCAATTTTTTAAAATTTTCCCTATGTCCTCAACTTTTTTAATTCAATGTGTCAATTGTATCCTCCATAAGTGTATCCAAATTACCCAATGCCCCTCCAAATTAAATCTTCAGACAAACCCTTTAGTTAATAACAAAAGAATTAATGGATTGAATAGGGTTCCTGTATCTCAAGATGCATATGCAAGTGTCAGGGGCGGACTCGGGGGTGGCCTGGGGTCACGTAACCCACCCCCCTCCCCCACTTTGCTTCCTCTTTTCCTATATTTTCGAAATCATTATGAGTTGTGAAACGAAATAGAAATATTGCATTCTTAATACAATTTCAAAGTGCTCACGGTCTAATTTTCTACGTCATTAATGACATATAAAATGATCAATCGTGGCAAATGTTACGACTTGTAAAGTACGCCGTTCAAAATTAGTATTTCGAAAATTTCGATAACGTGCTAACTTTAAAAATTCTCCGACAATCGTATGCTAATTGAATTTACAAATTATTTATATCATCTCAAAACTTATTTCGAGAACTACATTATGGGCATATCGAATAGTCCAAACAGATATCGAAAATAGTTAAAAATACGTTAAACGTGAGTCTTAAAAAAAAGTCTAACTCGCATTTTTTAAAAAAATTCAAATTATGTCATGTCAAAGCTTATTTCGAGAACGACATTATGGGCTCATCGAATAATCCAAACAGATATCAAAAGTAATTAAAAATGCGTTAAACACGAGTCTTAAAGAAATGCGTCTAATTCGTATTTTCTTTAAAAGAAATTCAATTATTTCATTAACATTTATTATTTTTGCAATACAAATTTCTCAATATAATTTTCATCATTTTATTAGAAAATTTTATGTGGAATATGATATTAAAAAATTTCGAAATTTTACATCCGAAAAAGTCATATCCCATGTAAATTTCCAAATGCAAAATTACATGGAGTATGATTTTTTTGGACGTAGAGTATGATTTTTTTGGACATAAATTTTCAATTGTAAAATTTTTCTCAACTTATTTTCAAGTTCGATTGTGCCCCTCTAACTTTAAATTTCTACCTCCGTCCCTACAAGTGCTTATCAAATTATGAGTTGTTTATTGCTAAATGTAGAACTAGGTATTAGGACTTATCTTCTTCCATCTAATGCAAAATCAATTATGTTACTTGTACAAAGGTGGTTTACGAAAGTGTGTTGACAAAATGAAGTGGTAAGACCTAGGTCATTGATTTTAAAAACTGTTTTTTAAATCATTGGCTAAGATGATGCCAACACGTATTTTTGTAAACCAATTTTATAACCTAACTTTGTACAATTAACATGACTCAATGCAAAATGGACATTGAGACATAAATCCAAAAAAATGATTTGAATATGGTTTTTGTCAAGTCGCACGTACCGCTTGACATTGCTCTAAAAATTTAAAAGGAGATCCACATCACAAATGCAAAAATCATTTTTTGGTGTAATAACGAACCAGGCAAAAGTTAAGGTCCTG